CCTCACATCATACAAAAAAACTGATGCACAATTGTTTAGAATTCTGTTTATTAAATAAAAACAAAAAGCTTTTAGAGTACAAAAGAATACCTTAGTCTCTTGAATTACCACCTAGGAATGGAGGCACTGGATCATATATAGTACGGATATGTTTAATTTTTAAGAACTGCCAACTTTTTTCCAGCTAGCTGTACTCTCATATTCCCAGACAGGACACACAGAATAACCATTACCAACTGATAAATTAGCTTGATCAAAATTCAAAGTTTTTGCTCTTCAAAAAACATGATTGAGAAAATGAATAGAGGGACGCCTGGGTGGCTCAGTCAATTAAGCGTCAGACTCTTGATTTTGGCTCAGGTCATGATCTCAGGTGGTGAGATCAAGCCCCGTGTCGGGCTCACCACTTAGCGGAGTCTGCTTCTCTCCCTCTCCGAGGGAGGGAGGGAGGGAGGGAGGAAGGAAGGAACGAACGAACGAGAGAAAGAACAAGAGAGAGAAAGAGAGAAAAGAAAGAAAGAAAATGAATAGAAGACCCATAGTCTGGGAGAAAATATTCACAAAACATATCTGACGTATCTGACAGAATCTGGAATCCATGATATATGAAGAATTCCTTCAACACAATAAGGAAAAAACCAACCCAATTAAAAAATAATGCAAGCAATTTTAACACTTTACAAAAGAGCTACAAATGGTCAAAAAAAAAAAAAAACCATCATCATCATCAGGCAGATGCAAATTAAAACCACAATGCAGTATCACTAGAATCCTCCAAATGGCTGAAATTAAGAAGACTGACAACACAAACTGCTTTCGCGACTGGAGGACCTCTGAACCCTCCTTGCTGGTAGATGTGTAACATGGTCCAAGCACACTGGAAAAATGTCTGGTGGCTTTTTATAAAAACATATATGTACTCTATGACGTAGCAATTCCACTCCCCGGCATTTTCCTCAGAGAAATGCAAACATCAGACTTATAAAGCAAGTTCCACAGCAGCTTTCATCTTCAGAGCCAAATCCTGGCAACAGCCCAAGAGCCCAACATCAGAAGAATGGATTCACAAACCGGCTCTATTTATACAATGGAATACTACTCAGCAAAAAAAGGAACAACTGATCTATCCAACATGAATAAAACTCAAACCATTATGATGAAACGCAGTGGAACACAGAAGAGAGCACAGTCTGATGATTACACTCCTGTGAAGTTCTAGAGCAGGCAAAACCAACCAGTGGTGCAAAGAAATCTGAACAGTGGTGGCTCCTGGGGGTGGTAGGCAAAGGGAATGACTGGAAGATGGAATGAGGTAATATTCTCTATTTTGATACAGATGGGATTACACAGGCATATGCATTTGTCAAAATTCACTGATCTGTGTATTTCTTAATATATAAATTTGTGTATACACATAAAAAGAGGTATAAATAAACACTGAATGCTCATTAATGATATGCACACCAAACTGTTTAGGGGTAAAGTGTACCAATGTCTGTAACTTAACTTGAAATATATTAAAATCATTAAATTGTTTTCATTACCCGATCTGCAGCTGAGTAACACCTGTCTGTATGGTTCCCAAAGAGCTCCCTCATCTTTGGTCATTTCAAGTGGTGTCCCAGCTTTTTATTGTTAAGCTGTGAGAGTTGAAATACTTAACCTTGTGAGTGCCCCTTCATCAAACTGTGGAGAAGCTACTAAAATAGCCTATCACCGATCCTAAAAAGTTCTGACTGCTATAACTACTCTGAAGTAGTTTCTGGACAGGTACATGATAAAACAAATAGAGCAAAATGTTAATGCAGGTTTAACGACAGAATCTAGGTTGTGGCATGTGAGTTTCTAACTGTACAATTTTTTAATTTAAGATTTTATTTGAGAGAGAAAGAGAGAAAGAGAAGTCACAAGCGGTGGGGAGGGGCAAAGGGAGAGGGAGAAGCAGATTTTCTGCTGAGCAGGGAGCCTGACCCACAGCTCGATCCCAAGACCCCGAGGTCATGACCTGAGCCTAAGGCAGATGCTTAACTGACTGAGCCATCCAGGCACCCCTCTAACTGTACAATTTTGAGTTTTCTGCACAACTGAAAATTTTTACAGTAAAATGAAGAAAAAATCTACTCTGCAGATGTCAAAATACGCTATCAACAGGACAGCAAAGTCCCTACCACACTGTTTTTTGGCTACACTAGGAAAAAGAAAAAAACAAAAAAAAGAACCTTTCAAAGGCTACTCACTGACCATGAAGTAAGGAGCTAAAGAAAATTATAGAAGACTATTGGGGCACCTGGGTGGCTCAGTCGTTAAGCGTCTGCCTTCAGCTCAGGTCATGATCCCAGGGTCCTGGGATCGAGCCCCACACTGGGATCCCTGCTCGGCGGGAAACCTGCTTCTCCCTCTCCCACTCCCCCTGCTTGTGTTCCCTCTCTCGCTGTGTCTCTCTCTGTCAAATACATAAATAAAATCTAAAAAAAAGAAAATTATAGAAGACTATTATAAAGAAAAGGATGAGTAAGAAAGGCAAGTTCAAATAACTGAAAAAATGACAAAAGGTTCAAAAGAGCCAGAACAACTCTGGTGCTAGGGTGTAATGGGCACAGATTTTCAACGGCACAGAAATTACTAACTCTTGACCTTTTTAAGTCCAAGATCCTTTTAGTACTATCATAAAGGAGGAAAGGTGGAGGGGCACATGTAGAAAGAAGACTGGTCAAGAGTGTCAAATGCTGCTGAGGTCAGCTAGAAAACATGGAGGTCACTGCTGTCCCTGATTAGAACGGATGCAGTACCGTTGTGGGGCAGGAACCTTTGTGCATCATGTTAAGGAGTGTGTAGGAATTAAAACTTATTTTAAGAAGCCTAGTTATAAAAAACAAAAACACCCTGTTAAAGGTGGAAGAGACATCAGTATGTTCCAGGGCTGGTGGGGGTAGGCCAGTAAACTGAAGGCACAGGAAGAAATGAGATACATGACATTCAGGTTCCTGGTGGTGCTAGGATGAGCTGGGATCCAGCGTGCAGGTGGAAGGTCTGAGCCAAGCTTTAACTGACCACTCATCCTGTTTTAACGGGAGAAAAGGCAAGGAATATCTTGCATGTTGGCTTCTCTATTTTCTGTGAAACTGAATGCATATTCCTTAAAGGATCAAGCATGACTTTTTTTAATCCTCTGAGGCACAGAGCAGCATATATAGAAATATATAGAAAACATTCAATAAATACTGGGGAGAAAAACAAAGCTAAAATTCTACGCAAAGCCTATCCTCATAATGACAACGAAAACTGCTAATTATGCTCCACTGTTTCTTAAGCCCCCTGGGTTTTCCACATAACGATGCTCTGTGTTAACTCAAGATTCACCAACACCAAGGCCCCAAAGCATTGGAAAGAGAGCAACACAGAGAATACACTTACCTCTGAGTAGTTATACCAGGCAGATCATTTAGGACAGGTGACAGGAGGCTATTTTAGGAGATTCTCCAATTTAACAAAGAGGCACTCACAGTAAGTACTTACTATTTCAACTCTCGGACTAACAATAAAAAGCTGCGACATCATTTGAAATGACCAAGTTGAGGCAGCTCTTCCAGAAGAACAATGTAACACAGACAAGTGTTTTCCAACTACAGATAAGGTAATGAAAACAATTCAGTGATTCCCAACCAGCATTTTTAAATCAAACAACCGATTAAAACATGATAGAATCACATGTAGTTAAGGTAAGAACTGTTTCATGAAACTTTTTCCATATACATATCAGAGCAAAATATAAAAATTTCTTAAAGTGACTGGGGCAGTAAAAAATTTGAAAACTACTGATGGATGGTTCGAAGCAGAAAGATAAAGACTATAAATCGTCGATTCTATATAAAATTATACAGTTGCATATAAAAAATGAAATCTTGCCATTTGGGACAATACAGATGGAGCTAGAGGGTATTACTCTAAGTGAAGTAAGTCAGAGAAAGAAATACCATATGATCTCACTTATATATGGAATCTAAAAAAAACAAAAACAAAACTAACAAATACACAGAAATGGTGATGGGGTGGGGCTCGAGCAAAACAGGTAAAGGGGACTAAAAGATACAAACTTCCCGTTGTAAAATTAAGTCACCGGATGAAAAGTACAGCATTGAGAATATACTCAATAACATTTAATACCTTTGTGGGTGGCAGATGTTAAACTACACTGTGGTCAGCATTTCCTAATGTTTGTAATTGTCGATCACTATGTTATGCACCTGCAACTAATACAATTTTGTATGTCAACTAAACTTCAATAAGAAAAACTTCTCAGCTTTAACTTCTAATGCGGTAAATATCGATAAATACATAAACAAAAGCCCTTTGTGATCCTCAGTTTTGAAAAGTGTAAAGGGCTCCGGAGGCCCAAGGCTTTGAGAACCCCTGGTCTCAGTTATTGTTACGCAACAAAGTCATGAACATCTAGTAAATCACGCAATTCTCCTTTTTCTCCTTTTACTCCACTGTTTGTCTACAACAGTTTTAGTCGTCCTATCAAGCGAAGGGCTGGCCAACAGACTTTTGTTACATGTTGCGGGGGATGTAATAAAGACTCAGGTTTCAACAGTAGGACGGAGTCACAGATTTTAAATAATTCTGGGCCTGCCCTTACTCTCGTTTCAGCCGGGCACAAACCCTTAGTAAAACGACAGACGTGAACCACCAGAACCGGGGCACGTTCGCAGAATACGGACAGATGGGAGTGGGTGTAAGGAGCAGACAGGGAAATTTCGAGAGAAAAGGGGCAGCTGGGGAGAAATTGCCAAAATCTTGGGGTCTGCTGTAATTCCCCGCCTCCCTAAGACTCCCGAGGGAGGTGTCAAAGGGTGGGTCTAGAGAGGCCGCTCCGGAGCTCCCACCAAGCCTCATCTCTGCCCAGACCCCTTCACCCCTCCTCTCACGCCCAGCGCCACCCACCCACCCACCCACACGTCTTCGATCGCCAAAGCCCCACGACCCCCAAGGATCCTCACCACCAACAGGTTCCTGTCCTCCACCAGCTGCCGCTTCCGGAGGATCTCCGATTTCAGAATGTCCATCCCGCTGCCCGGATTTACGCTCGAGCTTCCCTCTCGGGGTCCTGGAACCAAGCCTCACCTAGTCAGGCGCCGCGAACCCACCACAAACAAGCTCAAATACCTGACAACGACTGACAAGAACCGCTTCCGGCGGAAGCTGAAGCAAGCGAGAGGAGGGGAGGGAGTGCTCCAGGGCCCCTGTTGTTGACGAAGCCGCTGTAGACTTGCGCCCCCTGGCGGCGCCCTCCGGCAGCGCGCCTGTCGTTTATGCTAGTGGAGGTAACAATGGAAAGTAGGCTGAAACAGGAGTCTTCTTGAAGCCTGTGGAGGTCGACCTGCTGTATTTTTAAAGAGAAGTTATTACACCTGCTTGTATTTGCTAGTTCAGAAGCAAAAGCCTCCTCATAGAACACTTCAATTATATTAATTAGGGCCAGATCCTCACTCATTAAACCAGTTCACACCTGAGTTCCTGAAGTTACCTGCTTGCCAAAATGAATGCACTAAAGTGGGAAAACCCTTGGGGCACCTGGGTGGCTCAGTCGAGAAGCGTCTGCCTTCAGCTCAGGTCATGATCCCAGGATCATGGAATCGAGCCCTGCATCGGCCTTCCTGCTCGGCGGGAAGCCTGCTTCTCCCTCTCCCACTCCCCCTGCTTGTGTTCCCTCTCTCACTGTCTCTCTCTCTGTCAAATAAATAAAATCTTAAAAAACAAAAAAACAGTTCTTAAAAAAAAATAAAGTGGGAAAACCCTGAGCAATACTGTTAGTTCATTAGTACAGAATAAAGGGGCAGTGTTGATTGCCACCCTGTTAAATTTCCTGTAAAGTTAAGCGACTATATCCATTTAAGTCGCTTCAGAAGTAAATGTCTCTCATTTCTCAGTTCTAAACTGCTTACAAATCTTGGTGATAATTGAACACTTACCCCAAGCTAACTGAGATAATTGTTATGGTCATGTGTTCAGCAAACAAGATTTTCAGTGACATGATTGGAGATGTAATCAGAAAGAGTGTGTGTGTGTGTGTGTGTGTGTGTGTGTAAGTCCAACCCAAGAAGAAAAATTAAATTGTGGAGAAAAATTATGTCTAAGATTTTAATTTTAAAAAGACCCTAAGAACTGTTTACAAAGCATTTATCTTTGGTTCTATGCCATTGAAGCTGTTTTTGAAATTCCAGATAAATCACAACTGAACAATATTTGACAGGCTAGTTTTTCCCACTCAAAAAGGAAAGAAATATCATTCAGTTCAGTCGATCAATACTGAGTAAGATGATTTATCAAAATAAAAGATGGTAGAGAACTGTTCAATCAATTTACAAAGTTGTGTGTGTGTGTGTGTGTGTGTGTTGGTTACATTTCATCCAAAAGACAGCTGACTTTTACCAGAAATAAATCAACATAGGAAGTTAACTCATTCTCTGACCTAAGATGCTGTGCTAATTTTTAGGGCTTTGGAAAGCTTAAAATATTTTACAAAGAAAAGGTCCTTGAATTAATAAACACGGCGACCCTCTTATATGGCTATTGGTCTCCTGAGTCACTTATAATTCCCTAAGCAAATAATTTATTAGCATTTGCCTGTTTTAGGGTTAAGAGATTATTACACAGAAACATGAATGAGGGGCACCTGGGTGGCTCAGTTGGTTAAGTGACTGCCTTCGGCTCAGGTCAAGATCCTGGAGTCCCAGGATCGAGTCCCAAATCAGGCTCCCTGCTCAGCGGGGAGTCTGTTTCTCCCTCTGACCCTTACCCCTCTCATGTTCTCTCTCTCTCTAATAAATAAATAAAATCTTAAAAAAAAAAAAAAGAAACCTGAATGAAGGACTGACAGGGATGATAGTAACAATAATGGAAGTTTCCAGCAAAGGAACAGGTGGCCAATGGGAGACAGTAAGTGCAAACCAGAGAAACAACTAGCTACCAAAAACAGGCTCCTTTTAAATTTCAGACTCTCACTGATTTCGGTGTTTATGGAAACATGTGCATTAAATCTTGACAAAGGCTTGAGATGGAAGAAAGATGTGTACTTGAACAAGCAAACTGATGAGTAAGCTTTTCAATACAGAAGGGAAAAAAGACGCCCCGGAGAAAACGAACCCATCCTAACTCTAAGGGAGAATGTGTTCGTTTTCAACCTATGCATTCTGGAGCCACCGGGTGGCTCAGTCGGTTGAGCATCCAGCTCTTGATTTGGCTCTTGATTTCGGCTCTGGTCAAGATCTTAGCGTCATGAGATTAAACCCCGCCCCCCCAGACTCAGCTGGATGTCGGCTTCAGATTCTTTCTCCTTCTCCCTCTTCCCCTCCCCCTGATCATGCACTCTAAATAAATAAACAAACAAATAAATAAAACCTTTAAAAAAAACTGCATCCCATTCCATCACAGTAGTTATTTAAAAAGTGAAATATTGTTAGCAACCCAAATATCCTAAATGGGAGAATGGTTAAATAACTTACAGTTCATACATAGAACAGAATAATCTAGAACATTAAAAACCATGTTTCAGAAAATATTCAATTATGTGAGAATGCTCATGATATAGTGCTTAATGAAAAAGTAAACTAATGAAACTAGAAATCTAGTATATGGTCACTTTTCGATTAGAAAAGCATATAAACTTAGAAAAAAATTATTGGAAGGAAACATATCAAAATATTGGCTTGTTATCTGTCAATAGTAACCACTGGTGATTCTTTTCTTCTTCACACCATAACTTGATACAAGTTCCATAATTTGGAGAAAATATCTAGAGAGCAGTCATTTTCTGTTTTAATTATTGAAATTCTTTATAAATTTTTCCAGGGTAACTACTTTAGAAATTATGTGTGATAAACTTTAAATAATGCCGATAAAAGAAAGCAAGGGATTGGACACTAAATATTTGTGTAAATCTTCATAATTATTCAACCAATATTTAGGTGTCTTCTGTGAGCTCTATACTACTTTAGGTTCTGTGGCCTAAACCAAATACAAAATGTTACCCCTCCTCTTGAGGATATTACCAGCTAGCTTGGGAATCAAGAAATAGATCCTGAAAAGTTAACTTATGTAAGATAAACATGATTTAACAGCATAGATGAGGTTATAATAAAGTATTCACAGAAATAAAAGACCAGTCATTTTCTAAAAGAAGAAAGAGTAAAAATCAATATAAGAATGATGAGATTATTGCTCTGCTAGAGTAACTCATCCAAAGGGAGATTGTCATTTCTAAAGACTGGAAGAAATACCAAATTTAATCAGGATGACCTGGGTTTGTTTTGTTGCTGTCCTAAAGAATAGAATGTAGCTTTTTTAAAGCTAGATAATCTAGTACAGTGGCCCTCATTCTTCAGTTTGCCTTAGAATAACCTGGAGGACCTTTTGAAACCCAGACTACTGGTCCCCCTCCCCAGAACAGCTCAGTCAGGAGGTCTGGAGTCGTGCCCAATAATTTGCTTTTTGAACAAGCTCCCAAGTGAAGCAGCTGCTGTTGATCCAGGGACCACACTTTGAGAACCACTGATCTAATACATTATTTTGAAATCTCTCCGGGGAGGAAAAAGTGGATGAGTCAGAAACTCAGTCTGCATGGAGTCCTGATAAACAGGAGTGGAGGAGGAAGCAAGTGCCTGTGTATTTGTAACAGTTATGGACTCCTCTGAGGGTGCCCTCCCACGCACAGTGATGCTTCTGGAAATTTCCTAATGGGAGGGGACAGGCTGCCTTTGGATTCAGCCACATTCACATAACTGCTTTGTGTGGCTATACCATGGGCAGGTACCTGACGCAATCTGGGCCAACCAGAGTCCATTCCCTAGAAAATTGGCATTGGAATTGGGTCGATCTTCCTTTTTTTTTTTTTTTTTAAGATTTTATTTATTTATTTGACAGAGAGAGACACAGCAAAAGAGGGAACACAAGCAGGGGGAGCAGGAGAGGGAGAAGCAGGCTTCCTGCTGAGCAAGGAGCCTGATGTGGGGCTCGATCCCAGGACCCCGGGATCATTACCCAAACCAAAGGCAGACACCCAACGACTGAGCCACCTAGGTGCCCCGGGTCAATCTTTCTAAGATGCAGGAAATATAAATGTGAATTCGAGTGGTGGATAGCCATTTCAGTAGCAAACTGGAGCCAGCCCAGTCTTTACTGACCTGCAAGAGCAAACTGCTAAATCTTTAAGAATTTTATGAGTCAGCTGTTAAGCATGCCATTATTAAAAGTTAAATGTTTATTTACATAAGTACTTTATAAATACAGGTAATAAATACACAGAACCTATTACATACAATCGTGTTATTACATTTTACTATAATTTATACTCTTGCAGTTGGTTATAACTATTGCCTCTTTGTGGTGGAAATTCCACGTGACATGCTACTGCACATTTTTCAACAACTCCACACATGTGAAATGTCATATTGGTAGATTCAATCAGCCACAGTGGGAATATTTAAACCACCGAAATTGGCAACCACTACAAATCTGGACTTGATTTATTATTTTGTTGATTGTCTAAACTTTAAAGAGTTATGAAAAAAATGTTACTAATACAAACCAGGGTTTCTCAATTTTGGAGCAGATAATTCTTTTTAGGGAGAGAGATGTTTGGCATCTATTTATCTATTAGATGCCAGTAACACCCTCCTTCTATAGTTATGACAAGCAAAAATGTCTCTGGACATTGCCAAATGTCCCCTGAGGAGCAAAATCTCTCGCCTGTCAAAAACAACTGATAACAAATGAAATTTAAAAGTGTTGTGTCTGCAGCTGTTGCCTAGTAGGTAAAGAGGAAAAAGACTGAGGGAGATATTCTTCCAGGATTCGAGAACTATTATCTGATTCAATAAAGAAGTCATCTCACATGACAAACAAATGAAGTTCCAACGTGTATCTTTGTTGTTTCACTTTTGCCTTATTCATTAATTTAGGCAAAAATATTAAATAGCATTCATGTCAGAGCTAGACTCATTCATCCTTTATAACCACAGGTTAGCTGGGGATACAAGAGTTCTGCAAAAATCAATTAAAGCATTCTGTGAGAATCAGCTGGCTATATGGAACTCACAGCAAAAAAATACTGTATTCACCATTACCTAATAATTATTATTATTCATTATTACCTAATGTTGTGTCCTCCATATGCTTTATATCGGTAAGGATATCAGTAGGTAATTACATGAATAT